ATACGCGCTCTTAACATACTATATTATACTTTTTTATAATAGAAGAAGTTCGCAAATCCCATTTTATCTCGTACGCAAAAATATATATCTTGTTTACAATACATTTATAATTTATATTCTCATATATGCCTATATAATATATACTCAGATAAATTTGTGAAAACACGCTTAAATATGCGTTTGCGTTTTAGCTTATCAGGTTTCATCAGAAAGAGAAATATATTTTTTACACTTACCATAAATCTTATCTATTCTTCACGAAGATCATATTTCTCACATAGTACAAAAATAAAAATATACGACAGTATTACATCATTTTAGACACCAGACATATATAAGACAACTTTCGTTGTTCATACATATAATTATTAAATTAAATAAACTAAATTAATTAAACTTTATTTGCTAAGCAAATAAAAAATTATGTAATAATAAAAAAAAAAAAATTTTTTTTAAGAAAATTCTTCTTATAGAAAACTAATTTATATATTTCTTTTTAGCATGAAGTAACGAAAGTATCCCAAAGAATTCAAGTGTCCAAAATTCTAGTAATAAAATCACACATGATTCTTAGTTCATTCTGAAAATCTTTCTAAGGAATACAAAAAAATATTTCTATATAATATATTAGATCGTTATATATTCAAGTAATATTCAAAATACAATTTTATCCTTTATTTATAATTTCATAATAATCAAAAATTAATTATTTATATATTTAAAAAATATTAATTTTGTAACATCGAATTTTATAATTAAAATTACTAACTTTATTGACGGCAAAAAAAATATCATATAAGCTTTTTTCGCATATAAGTAAAAATATATTTTGCTTTTATGTAAAATGTCTGCAATTCTCTCCAATATTCTCTTTTTTTAGTGTATTTACTTTTTTTATCACTTTTTACATATATTAACAATCTAATATATTTTATAGAAATTTATGATTTGGAATCATTGTCACTTTCATCTTTCATACAATCCACAATTCACTCTTGTCTGTATCTACAATCGATGCGACACGCTGCATCAATCAAACCTAATCTAACCTGATCTTGAGAAATTATCATCTTTTCCATATCGCAATGCAATGACTTTCAAGTACGAAGAATTGTATATAATATAACATAACTTACGTTCTCAGCAATCCTTCTTTTTTGTTGCTCTTAATGTGTAATAAGCGAAGAATATCGAGTAATTCCTTATGGAACTGTATAACATTCTAATACGCAGAAAGCTGGAGCCTATGTATGCACACATGTAATCTTGCAATCAACCTTTCCATGTACCAATATAATTTTTGCAATTGGGACAAAAGTGATGAACACTCATGAAAGCGCTCATACAATATGGCAGGCATGAACAGAGACAACATCTGAAACAAGAAATCATCAAAACCTATAGTTATTTATAAAAACAAAACTTATCAATGACTGAGATTTATCGTTTATAATACAATATAATTGAGTTATACAAGCAATCAGATAACACTTCATTAATAAACATTTTTTCACATATGACATAAAATTCTATTTTGCAGGAAATACGTATTACATGTATTATTATTTTGAAAATGATAATTTATATTTTGGTAGCTAATAAAAACATTTAAAAACAGATTTAATTTTCTATAAAATTCGATAAACAATCATCAAAAAGTGATAAATAAAAAAAATTAGTAAATATACATTTCTTGATAATAAAAAAAAATATATATATATTAGATAATCGAGATAAGAGGCACGAATTTAAAATAAAATAAAATATAATAATAGAACATCGCTCACCCAAGTAAGCAGAGCACAATACAACAAATGTGAGCACTGGGCTGATGATCCGATATCGTGGTAGTTTTGATATCGGTGTGACACGACGGACAGGACATTTTCACGGAGTGCGGTCCTAGAGTGTACGTTACATGATGAACAACCCGTACATCCGGCTGTGGCACAGAATTCGGCTCTGCATTAAAAGGCTGTGATTGACTCGAGCCTGGGTATACGGAAGGCGTTGGCATCGTCGTTTGATTTGGTGGTTGATTGTCTAAAATTGTATTATACACATAATTTATTCTACACGTGCACTTTTCTTTTATCACCGAAAAAAGTATATTTTCAAGTTTAAAAAAGCATAAGTATATATCACCAATCCTCAAAAAAAATATTCTTGAGAACAAAAGCTCGCAAAAAATTACACGCACAATAACCTTTTTATACAAAAAGCTTCGTTTTCGAAAAAATTTACTTTAGAAATATAGTAAAAAAAAATATAACAAAATAATATAATACATAAAAAATAATTTTAAAAAAAATACATATACTTACACATTTTTAAACGTAATTATAATTCCTGACCTTTTAAAAACATTTTTTAGAATATATTACACACACACATACATGGCATTGGCATCGATACTGGCGCAGTTCCCAAGGGAGATGGTGTAAAACCAATTGGAGAGTGTAAAGGTGCTCTTCCTGTATTAGCTATGGCTTCCTCGTAAGACGGTGGAGCCGTTGGCAGAGGAGCCGAGGGTTGAGCACTAAAGCCTATGTTCTTCTCCATCTTTCCTGGAAAATAGAAAAGTTTGAACTAACAATTATATTATACATTTACATATGTATATGTGTATTTGTGTGTATAAAAACTATCTTCCAAATTAAATTTCTTTAAAATTCTGAAATTTTTTAAATATATTCTCTTTCGTGTAAATGTAATAGTAGTTTCACGTAAATGTCATCATATGAAGCTAATATTTTTATATTTATATAAGTAATTTATGTAAATAATAATGTCTACTTAATTTTTTTTAATTAGTATACATCGTTATGCAAATTAGAATTTTACTTTTATAATATAAGCAATATAGTAGGTATTTATATGGATAAGATTTTAAATATTTATATAGATGAATAAATAACTTTATAATTTTACGATTAGTTTTCGTGTTTATAGAAAATAAAAAAATTAAAGAATATTTATTTGATATTTTTTTAAGCATACAAAAAGACGCGCAAAATTAATATTAGTATTGAATAATGTCTAATTTTACATATTTCTTTTGTTTTTGACAACTTATTTGTTTTCACATTCCATTAAAATGCCACGCAAGCGAATACATTCAAATTTGTTTTGATTTCACAAAAAATTAAACGTCCGATTACCAAGTGTCGACGTAATAATTCTCTATAATATATATGATCGGAATATTTCCTTTTTTTGCTTGCATATAAAATTAATAGTGATGTATTTTGTAATCAGTTTTTTTGCAGGAGACTAATAAGAATGCGGAAGATAATGCGCATTTCGCGAGCAGTATTTCAATCTTATTCATATATACTCACGCAAGTAATACATGTAATAACGCGATATTTAATCGATCGTGTAATTTACAATGTATGCTTATAATTACTGCAATTGCGTTATTATCGTATCAGATTGGAAAGATTTATGAGCCTTTACTAATAAATATTTTTGTGCAAATTAATGCGATGTTAAATATCACAAAAGTAATATTTTTATTTTTTAATTTTATCTCATCTAATAAAAAATTAACAAAAAGCATATGAAATTTTAAGATCTTAATATGAACAATTGTACGGCACGAAACAGTATGAAAGGCTTGCAATACATTTAAATATAAATAATGGACGAGCGCATGTGTGATCGAGCACAAATAGAAAGTTGAGCGGATGTTAAGTAATGCAGACATGATATATATTTAGCAGAACTGTACATATATATATATATATATATAATAGAAAGCTGTACTTGTTAGAATCCCGAGTGCATCATAATCTCAAACATCTCGTAATACTTCAGACGAATTATATGATACTCTATTTTCAATGTGTAAGTGTGTATGTGTGATAGCACATTATTTGAACGTAAATACGGATACATTTACGTTCTGCTTGAATAAATATGTGATCTATCATTAAGATATGATATGATAGTCGATTAAAGATTAAAATATATAAAAGGTATTTTGGGGGGAGAGAGGAAACAGGAGATATTTTGCAATTTTATTTTTGTCTTTTCAACAATTTTGATTTAGATTGATCGGCCAAAATAAATAGTAATATTTTAGTAACTCAGTATCAAAATAATTCACTAATAATTAATACGTATTATTAAATTAAATAATATTAATGGCAATTTTCGATTATAGTATATATTCGTACGCAAGTTTTCCAAAATAATTATCTCAAAAAAAAATTATCTTACAAAAAGATAATTTCTTTTCCTGGTGAAATTCATAATTTCGACTGGCAAAAGAAAAATTATTTAAATTATCGAGAGAGAGAGAGAGAGAGAGAGAGAGAGAAGCGTAATTTCCATATTATACAATATTATATAATATTATATTCCATATTATACAATATTATACATTATACAATACTTTTGTTATAATTATAAAAAACGGATAACACCGAACCATTTGAAAAGAATCAAAAAAAAGAAAAAAAAAAAAAAAAAGGATTTCACTTTGAAAGAAAACTTATTTATTTTTATTTAACGCGGATACGCAAAGATCTTATTTTCCGAATATTTTCACAGTGCAAAATATAAAAAACTATCGCACAAAATCAAATATAAAAATGGAAAGTATAATATATGCTACCAAAATTTCAACATTAATTTAAATTTAAATTATATTTCTTGTTGTCTCTCAAACATCGCAAATAAAGCAAACCCCCAAACATTTTAAAAAAAAAAAAAAAAAAAAAAAAAAAAAAAAAAAGGATTTCACAAGATCACGTGTTTGTAATTCACAGCAGACTCAAATAATGTGAACTAAGATACACACACAAGCTTATTACGGGACTTGCTACGTGAATAAATTTTTCCTTTCTAATATTTCCGCGTTATAATTTCCCCGGAGCGTCTTCCATTACATGCTCACTTCTGATTAAATAGCAATTAATAGCAAATTTATTTATTAATATAGAAAAAAATAACACAAATGTTCTCTTTATTTTAAAATAATAATACATAAAATAAAATCTCATATCGTTCAATTTACATAAATAATTTCGTGCTTTACAAAATATTGTATTTTGAATTATTTGTGCGTTATTCGTATTAAAAAGGTATTGATAGCTCCCCCCTTCGCTATGTACAAAATTATAATATAAAATTCGTACTTTTTATTATTCATATCTTCTCACAGCATTTCTTATATACTTTCTATGCAATTGTGAAACAAATGGCTTCTGCGAATGCAAATATTGCAAAATGAATCATTTGTATTTTCACATAAAATGTAATTAATATATCATAAAAATGTAATTAATATATCATGTAATTTAATATTATCATAAAAATTAAATTATTTTTAATAATATTAAAGACAATTTTATATATTTTTAACATATTTATCCATTTTTTAACAACTTTTTATTCATACATATTTAAATGCAATATGTGACCTTACAGAGCGAAATAGTAATTGGCCAATAATTTAATTTGCAAAATAAATTAGCCAATCAAGAGAATTGACCTTAACCTGTTCCAGAAAAAATCTGCATAATATACGGATATATAAATGTTCATTAGATGATTCACAATATATTCGGTACACAATTTTTTTCATATTTGTATAGTATGATTCAAGCAGCAATTAACATAAACATAAAACGTGTTTCCATCTTAATTGAATATTGTGGTCTTGCGGACAAGGTAAGTGACGTAAAAAAAGATAAGAGGAAAAAAGAAGACAGTTATGACGACACTCGCTTTGGACGGGGAATATAAATAAAGGAAAAAAATGCACGATATATGCACTTCAATACAACATACTCACCGTGCGTCTTTTCCGAATTAAATAACTGTCCACGTAGTATAACCACCGACTGATTAGGTTAACGTCCGTTGCTCGATTTGGCGGTGTAAAACACGGCAGAGCAGGGGCCGTGTGACAAAACACGATTCACGCGTATTCACGCGACACAAGAGAACTGTCACAGGATATATTACCGTACAACTCGTCATCCATCACCACTCGTGAATCTTCCTCGTTTGCCAAAGACGCGAGTGAAAGGAAAACGCGCGAAATGACGATGTCAAAAGAAACGAAAAAAAAATCAAAAAGGAACACCTTCACGTCTTATCGAAACGACGACTGTGACGTGACTGTGACGTGACCACGAGACTGGCCTCTCGCGAGCGATTTCTATCCCTATTTTCCGGTCCCACGTGACATGCGTCCACCAATCGCAGCGCTTCGATTGGTTGCGTTCGTAGAGTAGAGAGATCTATTGACCAATCAGGATGAAAGAACCAAGGTGTGATTGATCCATCAAATTTCCTTCACTACAGCTAGTAAATTTTCAAGTATAACCCTAATCTGGTGATATTACCGGTACGCCATTTGAATTTATGCGTTGAAAAGAAAGCATTTCTTTTAAAAAAATAGAAAAATATAATAATATAAGAGAATAACAAAATATATATTTAAAACTAAATATATATTTTATATTCCTAACCACACAATGCAATTTGTTTACATTCTAACGCAGTCACCGCCTAATTAAAAAATTAGACTGTTAATGTCAATATACATACATATATAAAATGTAAATTATTTTGAAAGAGACACTGGCCGATTATATATTATGCATATTGCATATGTATTAAATAGATTTTATTCAACATAGATATTACTGAATTCATGTAATTAAACGTACTGTGTTTTTGGCTTACTGATCCTTGTTTTCTGTTCTGCCATTTGTAATGGTGACGATATTAAACCTACTAAAACACAGTCAGCTTCTAGAAGAGTTACATCTGTGGTTGCTCCTAAGAATCTGCTCGACAATTCCAAGTCCTTTATCCTTAATCTAACTTTTGATCCTCTCACGTAATATCTAAAATGATAAATATAATATCCATAATATCATTTATCGTTCAAAAAAATGAAACATCTGTTTTGAAAAAAAAAAAAGAAATCTAGACACGCACTGTCCATTCTTGACAGGTTTCCGACAAACGCAGTGAAACTTCCATCCAAAATCGATATACAGATCATCATCGACCACATGAAAGATCTCACCGATTACTAATTTTCCTTCAGGATCTCCCAGCTGCAAAAGATCATAAATCAATATTACATGCTCCGTAAAGTACAAATATTTTGCATAATTTATAAACACAAAATATTTACATCGACAAATTTAGAGTTGCGAATCAGGGAAACGAATGTTTTGGGCATCTCAGGAATTTTATCATCAATGTGCGAGAACTTTTCATAACTTTGTGCAAAGCCGCTCAATTTTTTCTCAGACTCCGTTTCTGTATCTATTTTCTCTGCTTGCGTTTCTTTGTCGACGGCGGACTCCAGGATCGGCGAGTCGTTACTTTCTCCCTCTGAATTTTTCTCCGAACTGAAATATCTCGCAGAATTCACTCTGAACACGTTGAAAGATCGCAAATGTGACAACGTTCTCTCGAGACGATGTATCTTGTTCATGATTGTAACTAGAATGCCGTTTTGTATCGTCACAATTTCTATCGGCGATTCGTAGATCACAGCCGAATTTGAGGTTATGCAAGGTTATGTAAAAATTCTCGTGGTGTCGTTACGATTTCTGTTGTTATCGTAGAACCTGGAATTGTAGATCCTATTTTGATTGAAATTTCGTGAAGTGGGAGTTTCTATTTTAAGATAAATGTAATTTAAAAAAATATCCAAGAACAAATTAATTAATATAATTTGTCGTTATATACGTAGAGATATATCAAATATTTCTTTTTTGCTAGATTAAAGCTAAGGTTATGTTACAATATTATGCAATTTATGTTGTATTTCAGATTCTTTTAACGAGAAGGCATCTCATTATTTCTCGGAATAATGTTGCCTTCCGCAATGTTAAATATTACGAGCAGGAGGATTTCTACGTCAGTCCCTGTGAATCATATAATTAAATTAAGTCGATTGAGAGTGGTAGATAATAGCGAAATAGGAAAGAAAGCTATGATGGAGGGTAAACCACCACGATGCATACACGTCTATAACAAAGTTGGAATTGGATATATCGGTGAGACAGAAAAAAAAATATATTTGTGAGAAAAACTTTTCTCTTTATTCTTCTACAGAAATGTATTTGAATGCTGATATAAATTATTTAGGAGATAGAGTTTTAGTCGCCATAAGAGGCGAGAAGAAAAAGGGTATATTAGTTGGATTAAAGCAGACTCAGGCAGCTAAAGTTCCTAAATTCGACAGTAACAACTTGGTGCTCATCGATGACAATGGAACACCCTTAGGTACAAGAATACAAGTACCCATTCCACATATACTCAGAACGAAAATGAAGGAGAAAACTCATAGCAAAGGAGCAGATTATACCAAATTGATAGCAGTTGCATCCAGATTTGTATAATGTATATTGTTTACCATTGTAATGTATATGTATCGCTTGATTTAATAAAAAATGTTAATACTGTAATTATTTAATATATCAACTGCAAAATTTCTTGCAATATGTAAGTATATTATTTTGTCTCCTTATATCTTGCTAGTTTCAACTAAAAACAGCATTTTATAATAAAAGTATTGCTTTTGATTAATTCTTCTAACATAAATATATTCTTTGATATATCTGTCGTATTTAACTACAATATATACTGGAATGAGAAAAGTGAAAAATGACCTAATTTGTAGAAAAGGATACATATAGTATCAGTGTCAAAACATTGACTTCATTTATTTTACGAATTGAATGAAAAATAAATAATTCATTATCATTTCCAATTTCATTGTTTAAATTGATAAATAAAACTAAAATTTAATTCTGGCCCCGATTTTCTATAAAATAATACAGGAAAGATTACAGAATACTACAGAGCTTGACTATACTACTGACTATACTATGCCATCGACGAGATATAATATCTCGTCGGTGACTATGCGCATAGACGTAGGAAACATATGTTTATGACTGTGCGTAGTTTCCCCTCTATATGCGAACTACTTTATCGAACCCGCATCTTTGACAGGGCTTGTCACTATCAAGTTGACGCATGACGCAGGACGCAGTCTGATGTCGAGCGTTGGCGCATATCGAACGGCGTATCAATGCGTTTTGTTATCGTGAATACGATTTACATTCATTTCAGAAAAAATTTGATATGCAGATATCTTATCAATTTTGATAATGCAGTAAGATGAGACTTTATAAAACAAATAGCTGTTTTGTTGTGTCGACTAAGCGTTTCCGGAATACATTTTTGATCAAATAACATGATTATTGCGTGAGTACTCTGTACATATAATTATCATTTTATTATCGTATATTGATTGTAATGATTATACCGTTTACATTATTCCTTTCTCTTTGTATTGTGAACAATAAGAACGTGATGATTAGTAAATAAATATGCGTCAGTCGTTCTATGCGAATCATAAAATTTCTCTTTACGCACTAATTTGCTAATTTGGCATTGCGATGTATGATTATTAATAGCTTGAATATAAATTGGCATATTATTCGTATATCCATTGGGTCTATGCCATTAAACATTATGCAATGCACGCTTTGAAATTTCTTAAATATCTTGAACAATCGAGTCAGTGAAACATTAAGTTTAATGTTCTCAAATAAAGATTTCGTTCTTACTTGGAATAGTAGTAATATAGATTAAAATTTATATATTTGTGCAGAGTATAATGCATTTTTGTAAATTTTATTTGAGCATGTTTTATGAGAGCAACTATATTAAGGTTATAAAAATATTTATAGTTTAAATATTATGTTTTATGTACTTTGATGTGGCTTTGACTTATTATTGTGTGACATATGTAAATTGCTTGTTTAGGTGAAATTTGCTATGACAACAGAAGACACTACTTTATATTTAAAAAGAAAGAAATAGACAAGATTCTTTCATAAGAAATATATTGGATTATACTAAAAACTTTCACATTTGGATGATCAAGGTTGTATATAGCCCATTTCTTATATAATACGCTTGAAGCCAACATACGCATCAATTCTAGTAAATTATTCAGAAGCTTTCATATACTTCCAATGACAAGCAGTATTTACACCATTTAGAGATTTAAATACAGTTTACTAATAAATTGTTGAAAAGATTATCTTCGAAGTTAAAACAAAAATGGCCAGTGGCTGGAAAATTTTTGGCTTGTTGCTATACAAGGACTTGATAGTACGCAAGAGACATTGGCGTACAATATTATTCTTACAAGCTTTTCTGCCTATTGGATTATTTGCATTATTACAAGCTGTGAGAGATTTTAGTGCTCAAACACCAATTAAAATAAATGAAAGCACGTTTTATTCTATACAAACGCAAAATGATTTAATGGAAAAACTTGATAACGATTTAAATAATATTTATTATCTGCCAAGAAGTACATATACAGATAAGATTATGGAGTCTGCCAGAAATTGTCTCGGACTTGTATCTGAAAGTAAGCACTACTTTAGAAAATTTCTGTATTCTTCAGAAAAAATATGATTATTTAATAGAATTCTTTAATAATTAACAAAAAATATTAATATAATCTTCTTTTTTTTCTCATACAGGTATGAAAGGTTTCTCTAATGAGACTGAAATGATAGATGCTTATATAGTTTCTCAAGCGCAAAATCCAATACTTTCTGTGGTAGCCATTGTTTTTGAGCAATATAATAAAAGTACTATAAAGTACAAAATTAGACATTCCTGGAATATTCCATACGATTTATACCAAACTGTATTAGGTGAACATATGAGAGCATCACCTATAATGTACTTTGATATGGTTCCAATTGTGCAAGTTCAGATGTGTGTAGATGAAGCACTTATAAATCAAGCAGCAGCAAATTCTATGTCAAACATAAAGGTATTATAAATTTTTAAAAAGAATAATAAGTTTATAAATATATTTAAAAAGCAATACACATAAACACGCTTAAAAAGGAATATATAAATACATTTTAATAATGCATAATTTATTATTAAAATGTGTTTGGCAAATATATTTATGCATATGGAGACATTAGATAATATGCGACTGATGTATATGACGGTATTACATATGACTTATCATCTTTTGAGATATATGTATTATATTTTTCAGATGTCAATACAAAGAATGCCTTATCCACCACACATCAAAATAGACACAGCTGATGTAATACTACGTGAAGTAATTTGTACATTTGCAGTTATAGCTTTTGTAATTCCACTTTGCATAGAAGCCAATTATGCGTCAAAAGAAAAATTTATTGGTATAAATGTTAGTATATAATGTTTTATTTTTTTGTTTTTATATATTTTATATGTGTTCTTGTATAATTATTGTGAGATATTATTTGCCTTATTGTTTTATGCAGGTTTTAATGGCAATGAATGGAGTCAAATTATCCTACAATTTATTAAGCTGGTTAATTACAGGAATATTATTCAGTATTCTTTATGTAGTGCCAATAATCATATTATTTAAAAATACTTTTTCTACAAATGTTGAAGCCTACTTGCAATATGGAAATGTATTTATATTTTGGCTCGTATTTACGGCACACATTGGACATCTTATAACATTTGGCATGCACATTGCAGCTTACTTTTCAAAACGTAAATAACGATATCTCTCGCAAAATAAGTAATAATATTTTTTTAAATTGTTTTAAACTAATTGTTGATATTTCTTTGTAGCACGTTTTGTGACAACTGCTTTAGCTATTATATATACGGCAGCATTGTCGCTTCATGAACATATGGCAAGGGAAGAAGATTTTGGACTTATATCATATTTTGGTATAATATTTCCAAATATTCTGCTGTATAGATTTCTTCAAGAAACAAATGCACATGAAAGCAAATGTAATAATTTCCTACTTATTTGTATTCATTAGCTATATTGCTAATCTATTAGAAAAGGTTATATTTTAGACTGTATATTGTAAGTGAGCAATTTCTTTTATTTTAGTAATTGGTATTCAATGGAATAATATTTTCGTTCCTGGAAACGAGGAATATGGCATTGTAGGAAGTATGGGCTTCATATTTCTCTTCTCAGTCTTGGGCGCTGTGATACATTTTACACTTGCGGTTTATATAAATGCTATATTTCCCGGTAAATACGGAGTTCGAAAAAGTCCATTATATTTTTTGAAGGCAAGTTTATATACAAAGATCATTAATAAAATGGAAGCGATATTGCATATAGCATGTAATAATTTTATGTGATCATATTTTATAGTGTATCAAAAAGAATAAAATATCCCTAGATGAAGAAGTTATTGAGTTCGATTATGATAAGATAGCTAATGAAGATTTTGAACCAGTATTAGGTGGTGCACTTACACCTGGAATACAAATACGTGATCTTAAAAAATCTTATGTAACATGTTGGCTACGAAAATCTGTAAGCTTATATCAAAAGATAGATATTACATTTCTGTAATGTGTTTGATTAATATTAAATTACCATATTTTAGAAAGTTCATGCACTGAAAGGAATTTCTGTGGACTTTTACAAAGGACAAATTACTGCTCTGCTTGGACATAATGGAGCAGGCAAAACCACACTTATGTCTATATTAACAGGTATTAGATTGCATCACAAAATAGTTCTTAATATGTTATTTTAGAAAACAATCCATATTTATTTTTGATTAGGTGTGACAAGTGAGACAGAAGGAAAAGTATTTATAAATGGCAAAAATATAAGAAGACATCTACACAGTATTAGAAAGGATTTAGGTTTATGTCCTCAAGAAAACATGGTTTTTCCAGATTTAAATGTATTTGAACAAATAGAATTTTTTGGTTTGGTAAGAATAACAATAATAATCTTTGTGGATTAAGAGCAATTGTGTTAAATATATATATATAATGTTTTTATATTATGGCAGTTGAAAGCTAAGAATAAGACCAGGAAGGAAGTTAGGCAAGATGTTTATACTTTACTTGCTAAGCTGAAGCTTTCTGAAAAAAAAGATTTTCTTCCTAGCAAATTGTCCGGCGGTCAACAGAGAAGATTGTGTCTTGGAATGGCACTCATTGGTGATGCTGGCGTAAGTTTTGAAATAGATATATAATGCGCACCATATTATATTGATTTCTTAAAATAAATTTACGTTTAGATTATAATTTTGGATGAACCGACATCTGGAATGGATCCTGAAACTAGACGAGACACATGGGACATTATATTAGTAAGCACTTAAATTTGTTATCTGACTCTTTTCCAATAATATCTTTTGATATATGTATATATGTTAAAATATGTTGTACATTTTGCATCATTAATATTTTTTGACAGAAACTTAGAGGAGAGAAAACAATATTGATTAGTACACATAATATGGAAGAGGCTGATATACTTGGTGATAGAATCGCGATAGTACATTCAGGTCGTCTTAGAAGTTATGGCACTGCAATGTTTTTGAAAAAACAATATGGTAAGATATTATGCTGGGCTTACTAATATTTAAACGTGATATATAAGGTATTTAGATTGTTATTCAATAAATCATAACTTTTTATTCTATTTTAGGTCATGGTCATATAGAAGTTACTTTATCAACAAAGTCTTGGTGCGTTCCTGAAAAAGTAATAAGTAAATTTGATTTGAGGACCCAACAACTTTGCGTTGATACTGAAAAGATTGTTTTAAATGTGCCATATACAGATTCTTTGCCACAATCACTAGATAAAGTAGAAAGTGAAAAGAAAAAATTAGGGGTTACTGGAATAAGCGTGTCATTGATTACTTTAGAACAAGTTTTTCTAAAGTATGTTTTCTGAAACTTATTTTGCATTGCTATTTTATTGCTAATTTCTTATACTTTATTATTATTTGTTGTAGAATTGTGAAGAAAGAAGATAATGGAAGACATCTTAATGAATTATTTACAGCGCCATTAGGCAAAGTTACAGGGACTATGCTATGTATGCAATCAATACTGGCATTACTTGCCAAGAAATTCACATATACAAGGAAGAATATAACTACTTTATTGATGATTGTATGTATCTTTCCTCAATAGTTTCTTTACAAATATACTATGCATATTACATTATTAATATTTTTCTTTACAAACATTGAAATTGGAATTTCTATCATTAACATTTCATTGTTCATATTTTCAGATAATTTTTCCTATCTTGTCGGTGCTTTTAATGGCTTTAAGTTACAATTTACCAAACGATTCCACAGATATTGTTCCATTAAATCTTGGCATGTACAGATATCCGAAAGTTTTATATTCGTCACACGATAACATAATTGGTCAAAAATACGGAGATGTTGCTCGGTATTTCGGCCAAGCAGAACGCGTAGCGGATACAAGTATTACAAATGGTAAAGTATGCCAAATAAATGATCTTGTATTAAATATGACAATAAAATTACATTAAACAATAGTTTTACTAACTTTTTGTTTCTTACAGCTCTTCTGATTTTTTCTATGGCGGATATCGCGGAATATCGTAACAATCTTATCGTATCTGCCGAATTTAATGCCACTGAAAATAGCACGATATTGGCTAACGGTTTTTATTCTGGCATAGCACTCCATAGTGTGCCATTAACAGTGAATCTTTTGAGTAATACATTCATCAAGACTTTTGCTAGTGATCAACACTCGATTCTTATATCCAGGCAACAATTACCGAATACACTTGTTTCGAGTAAACTAGAAGCGCCAGAAGCAGAGTCGCTCTCACGCGTATTAATATTCTGTTCGTTTTTCTTTCCCACTGTGGCGTTGTTCGTTGTGCATCCTCTGCAGGAAACAATTACGAAAGTTAAACAACTTCAACGTATGACTGGTGTCACATCGCTATCATACTGGGGTACAATGTTTGTTTTTGATCTTCTATTGTATACAGTGTGCATACTGCTGATTACCTTGGCATTCTACATTATGGATATTATCCTTGATCTTCGTCTATATTATAGAACAGAGATATGTAAGTCGTTTTTCAAATTACATCAAGACTTTAATATTATAATATTATAGATACTAATTATAGTATCATATTTTTATCTTTTTTACATATTTTTACTTATTTACTATTTTTTTGCAGTATGTACGATATTGATCCTGCAATTGTTTGGTATTAATGTTTTATTTATCGTCTACATATTCAGTTTTATGAATAAATCAAGAAGTACAATAATAACCATTTTGGGTCTTGCACCTCTTGGTCTTGGTAAGCTTGTTATATATATAATATTTGTCTTTGAAAGTACGATTAAAAATCTCACAGTGAATTAAATAATTAAAAAATATTCAAGTAAATATACAAGAAATAAGTAAATTTAAGAAATTATTTCAGCTGTAATACAGTATCTCTTACATCAAGTAATACACAATTTTGACTGGCTTAACCCGCTACACATTATACAGAAGAGCATCTTCCATCTAATTCCTTATATAAGTTTATTCCATGGTCAGCTATCCTTTTTCAACATAGCTGTACAAAATGCAAGATGTCGTCGTCTACCAAATAGACTTCAGGATATAGTTTGTCTTATACCCGGCGATTTTTGTTGTGGTAAGATTGTGCAGTATTTATATGAAATGTAATTTAAAGTTGCTCTGTTAACGATAAAAGTTAAAATTTACTTCATCATTATTCTCTTCAGGTTTGGATTGTGCTGATGGAGTTTGCAAAAAACAACTGCCTTATTTTAAAGACTTTAAGGATGATATAAATTTCGAAGAAAGTATAATATATTTATCTATAACACCAATTTTGTATTTTGCTATATTGATTATGATAGAGGAAAAAATATTTTTGAAATTATATGCGAAGATTGGCACAAAGCCAAAAAGTGAATTAGAAAACATGGACGATCAAGTGAAGAAAGAGAAACTTGCTGTAGCATTAGAAATTAATAAAATTAACAGTCAAAGTAAGATGTATACAATTATGAATATTTTCTAAAAAATATATTATGAATATATTAGATAATGTTAATAATTAATATATAATTGTTGGATTTATGTACAGATGTAAATGTTACGAAACAAGAATTCAAAACAGATACTACAGATGCTAATAATTCCGAATTAATACAAAGTCCAGTAAGCGAAGATAATAGCCTTTTTTTAGTGTACGAATTAAACAAATATTATGGAACACTAGTGGCTGTGAATGAGATAAGTTTTCGAGTGAAACCGCGGGAATGTTTCGGATTGCTTGGCGTAAATGGTGCTGGGAAGAGTACAACTTTCCGAATGCTAACTGGGGAAGAAATTCCTGACAGCGGCATAATGTACTTAGGCCGAGCGGAAATTTTTAAGAATAGGAAGAAGGTAACAATAATTTACATTCTCATTTCTATAGCACTGTATTGTTTGTTGAAATATTGAAGAATTTTTTTCTTGTAGTATCTTTCTGAAATGGGATATTGTCCACAAACCGATGCTTTAATGCCATCCTTGAACGCTTTCGACCATTTACGATTGTTCGCTCGCCTTCGCGGCATACCAAAGTCCAATGTGGAATTGGAAGTTAACAAATGGATTAATAGACTGAGTAATTAAAGCGCCATAATGTAGAATTTTAAGAAGTCTACATAACTCTACATAAAATAATATACATGACAACATATGTACATTCTTTTTAGATTTAACTGCTTGCATGATGCAGCCAAGCGGTACTTACAGTGGTGGGAACAAGAGACGCTTAAACATTGCGATGGCTCTAATTGGTAATCCTACTCTTGTTCTCCTAGACGAACCTACAACTGGTGTTGATCCTGCAGCTAGAAGATCGCTATGGAATACTTTGCAAGCATGCCAAGCAGCAGGACAAGCCATTATACTTACATCTCATAGGTATCTATCAGAATTGTCCAAGTATCTAAGATAAAATATATATTCACTATTTAGACCTCTGAATAAATTTAGTTTTATTAAATTCGACATATTAAATCTATATATTGTTCAACAGCATGGAAGAATGTGAAGCACTTTGCAATCGACTAGTCATTATGGTGAAAGGTGAATTGGTCTGTGTTGGTCCAAGTCAGGAATTGAAACAACGATTTGGGGCGGGCTATGATATTCATATAAAATTAAATCCTGGCCGATCAGACGAGGATGTTGAAAATATTAAGATGATCATTGAATCTACTTTAACATGCGACATAAGAGACGATAATTTGGTAATGATTGTGCTTTGCTTAAAAGCATATCTACAAGGATTTTATTGATAGATTCTAATTTTATCTCTTCTTCCCCATTACAATTAATTTTCCTACATCTTACAGGGTCTTCTCGCCTACCATGTAACTGATTGTAACACAACGTGGGAAAAAATGTATGATACAATGAAAAACCTTAAGCAAAGATATAGCTGCATTGAGGATTATGCTGTTTTATCTGCAACTTTAGAGCAACTCTTTATTCAGTTTGCAAGAGGTGTTGAAATGCCTAAAAGGTCTTCAACTTACATTACTAGTCATGAAGAAGTCTAAATAGAATATGACGTATTGGAAGATATATACTTAAATAAATAGACTAATAACATTAATATATCGATTACATTATAGATTGTTATCAGTTTATATAAAAATATAATTGCTCATATAATAATTTCATTTGATAATTGTTACTATATGTTGTATTCAGTATTATATCAATAGAGTAATTCCTGCATACTATTTTTAAATTACATTACAATGAGAATATTTTATTACAAAAATACGTATTTTTACGTAAATATATATATATAGAAAATTTTGCCTATTTGTGTAAAAGAAAAAAAATTGTAGAGTTTAGTGATTATTAAATTCTGTGTATGTACATAAATATAAAAATAGTTTATATATATTTCACAGCGTTAATACACCTTTTATTTATTCAAGAAATAATATTATATAAAAACGTCTCAAAATTGATGTCTATAATCATAATCTGTGTATATAAAAATGTGTATAAAAGAAAAATGTGCGATACCTATCGTTTGTTGCTAAATTTTAATTATACAATCACACTACACACATATACACTTGAAGAATATTATATATTAATGTCTTAAAGTCGATATAACAACATCTATAAGAGAAGTTGAACATCATTGCACTTGATATGCAAAAGCAGTTTAAACAAAAAAGATTTAAAAGGCGGGCTTTTCATGAATAAAATACACGTACTTTGTATAAATAAAAAGGTCTATGTATGATATATTGTTATGTACATATGTTCCGAAACGGAATAATATGAAATTCGTGTCTGCATATGGTATATATGCATCGATCATTCACGAATTCGCTGTTTAATATTGGTAACCACCACCCGAACTTGTTTGATACGAATTCGGTCCCTGGTATACGCCACCATGACCGCTTCCTATGACAGGAGAATAAATATTTAAATAGTAGATCATATGAAACATTAATATGTATAAATTACGCAATTGTAAATAATTATTTAAATCTGATTATTTGTATAATTCACCTCCGCTACTAGGATATCCGCCGTCTCCCCCCTGCGAATATCCTCCACTGCTACCATCCTGATTTTCTCCCCTGGCTTCAGCGGCGAGCGCCAGTTCAACGCCTCGTTGAATTTCCGGCGGAATCGGGGGCGGTGTTGGCAAATGGGCCCCTTGAGGATGGAAGCCATTTTCGTCCGCCGTGTACGTGATGGAGTATTGCACACCGTCGGGTCCGGTATAAGAAAAGGATCCGCTCACCGACTCGGATTCTCCTGCAACATCAATGATACACACTTAGCTTTGACGCAATGGTCTCTCGATACCGTCTAACGCATTTGTTATGTTACAATACTTTCGCGATCTTTCCATTTAGGGGTGAGCACTGTTTGACTAAAAAAAAAAATTAAATGAATTTGTCAAGATACGATTAAGATCGAAACGCGTCCGTTTGGTGGTCAAATAATTAATAATTAAATTGAGAAATAGAAATGCACAGTTTTTTACCTTGTTGATGGCCAGTTTCCTGTACGGTGATACCATTCCCGGTTTCATAACTAAACTCATAATTTCCGTCACCGGCGTTCTCGTTACTATACGAAATAATGGGTATCTCTTGACCACCAGGCTTACCCCTGCTCAATCCGCCACCTAAGATATAAAATTAAATTTTAAGAGTGAGATAAATGTAAGTTATTCTTAGGATCGTTACTATACGAAATAATGGGTATCTCTTGACCACCAGGCTTATCCCTGCTCAATCCGCCACCTAAGATATAAAATTAAACTTTAAGAGTGAGATAAATGTAAGTTATTCTTAGGAAAAAAAATCTTATTCTCCTTGAAAAAAACGATGCAAGGAGATATTAGTAAAAAATTCAATTAGACTTGAATTTTAATCAGGTAATAATCACAATAGAAATTTTAAAGAGACAAATGAAATTATGTTTAAGATAATATATAATTACATTTTTTTCTTTATCTTTGATCTTTTATCTTCTCAGACTTACCATCTTGGTAAGCACCGCTACCGCCTCCGAGACCGAATCCGCTTGGTCCACCATGATCACCTAGACCACCTAAACCACCTGGACCACCTGGACCACCTACACCACCAACTGGGACACTATTTTTAACGGGGCCGCCTCCACCACGTCCTGGAGGATGAATCAATCCTGGTCCACCCGCACTTCCGGCGCTACCAGGCGGGAGATAAATATTATCTAACCGTGCGGCGTGACATATACCGACGATTGCTAGCAACGTGATGGAAACTTGCTAAAACAATTTCAGTCACGTTAAATCCTGAGAAAACAATTATTTAACATAAGAAGAAAGTATAGATTAAGAGAAAGAGGGAAGCAATGTAAAAAAAAAATATGTTTCATTTTTTATAGACACTATCCCACACGCGAAGCGGAAATCACGCGACTCGGAGATCCAGGATCTATACGAATAGAAATATTGATAAGATCTGCACCTTTCGTACCGATCTCATTTCGCTTGTCGACCGAATCCCGGCGGTGTTATACACTGCAGCGATACTCAAAACTGTGTAAGTATGGTCAAACCGACGATGATAATTGATCTGCACGGATCCAGGTCGGATCCAGCATGCTTATATACCAATCCCGCACGAGGATCGTCTTCCTCCCACCCGTTGATGAGAAACCGCGCGCGCGGATGGCATCGGATGATTAGAGATCACCCAGTGACGCGTTCCTCGAAGATTCGCTTGCGATCCTCGCCCCGCGAAAGATGCCGCCGGGGAAAAGAAGAGAGAAAAATAGATCTCGGAATTTTGCTTGATAAAGAAAGAAGCACATGGTGAGCGGACTATCGAGGGGCGGGAATGGTGCGAAAGAAGCCTCCGTCACGAGATGAAACTGTCAAGTGATGAAGGGGGTTGCGCAATGTCAAGTGATATAGATCGGCAAACATCTCCGAACGGATCTGAAGGTCGGCATGAAAGTCGAGGCATGAAAGTTAAGCAATAGGATTTAGATAATGACGTGTAAAAGTGAAATGGTATCGGTCGCTCAGGATGCGTTTTTCACTCCCATTTTACACAAAAAAAATAATTGGATATTGTGAAAATAATTATTTTATAGCTTTTTCATGATAAAAGCTGTGGTGTAATTATACATATCAAGCTTCCTATATCTTTTCGTTGTGCGATTTATTTTGATCCATTTGCGAAACGATGGGAAAGCGTAGAAAAATGAGCCGAGTCGATGACGCAGCTGGCATGTACCGGCCGTGCATTCTCCCTTGTAATTATATCGGCTCTTTCGACGCGAGAATTATACCCGAATGCCGCGGAGTCGTCATCGCCATCGTCAGCGATCAAACATGTCTCTATGGAGAGCAACTTAGAACGCAGACTTCGCGCAATCGAGCGGGCTCGTTGCATAATCGTTATGCGTTGAGCATCTCCGGAGCGGCATCATCGGCCGGCCCGATACGTGCGTGCACGTGTGCGCTAGGTCGGGAACTCTGGATACCCCTGGGCAACCCGGGCTGATCTATCGCGCGAAACACGGCCAATGTATGATGTAAAATTTATTATTTTCGCTCCTTCCAGCGACAGAGTTATTAATGGAAGCTATTATCTTGTCAAGAGTTTAAGCGCGCGTTTTTACTTAGACCATCTGGATATTCGGGTAATTACACGACCGTGGCGAAGAGTTCAGATCCGGTTACCCGAGGATTTGACGATTACGTAAGATAAGTTACAAAAAGCTAATCCGCGAAATCGCCCCACAGTTTCACATTCGCGATCGCGAATGTTACGCGTCCATATAGTTGCAGCTTCAACGTGTACCGTAAATGTTTCCATAAAAAATGCCGCACGCAAATACGTAAGTCGTAGCGAATGCGCTGAAATCATCGGATTGCCGATTGACACATAAGTCGCCGAGTAACAATCCAGCTTACGGTCACCGTACTTAAGTTTCACCGTAAATGAAGCGATAATCGCGTCCCGATAGGCATTACGTTCACCATACGATAGAGAGAAAGATGTGCGTCTTGATTTGAAATACAACGGCCGAACTTTGGATCCATATTTAGAAATAGTAGCCGATAATGTTGTTTTGACATTACATCTCAACGAATTCGAAGCACAAATAAGGAATAGGCGGAGGAGGAAAGTCACAAGACAGCAATCGTGAAGCCTCTGTATATAGCGCGCCAATTCCTGAGGTTAAAATAAACGTGTTTTGCAGGTCGGATGCGGGAATGCGACCGAGATAAAAAATTATGAGCGCTCGTGAGCCACGAGTCCGATAATAGGATACGGCGACCGTGTCGAGACATCGCATCCCACTCCGTAGAGCACGCTCCGAGAGGCATCGAAGTCACCGTATTCTTTGAGAAGAGACCCGACCCTTTTAACGCGCTATTCTTGCATCCATCTATCTTGCTGCTCGTGTTATGCCAGAGGTGAGGTCCAGCGATGCAAAAATTCTCAAAACTAGTCCGATATGAATCCCGAAGTGTATCGAGCTCTATATATCCTTCGTACCCATCGGCGTCGAAAAATAATTGGAAGGAAGCGATTCCTTCACTGTTCTTCACGATTAATCGCTCACGACTTCAGTGTTAGATCTGTATCGATCGTGTAAGAACGAAGCTGCACAAGATCTCTAATCGTAGATGTCTCCTTAAACGCAGATAATCTGAAAAAAAAAATTATTGATGAATATTCATTCAAAATTATTTAACATTTTTGCTATTCAAGCACAGACTTATTATACCCGGTTCATCTAGTTATGTCTTTGCTATAATTAGACGGCGCGTCGAATTCAGTTTCGACAACATATCGCGGAAGTATCGCGAGATTCGTTATTGATGAGCGATATGTAATAAAGAGATTGTGCAAAACCGGGAGCGCACGCGTGCTCTCCTCCACCGCTCCCCTTCTTACGACCTCGTGCGCGCGATCGCACCATTTCAAAAGAATGGGTGCCTACGTTGGAGGTCGATGGAAGGAAAAAAAAAGTTGTGGTCTCTTCTCGACGGTTTTCTTACGTGTCGCGGTTTTGACGCAACTCCGTGACGGAGCAAAAAAAGGAAGAAAGGAAGAAGAGCGG